ACCAGTCATCCGTGCTGCCTGTTTTTGAACAGAGGAAGTCCATCCATCCATTTTCCGATCCGCTTTATCCTCACAAGGGTCGCGGGGGGTGCTGGAGCCTATCCCAGCCGTCTTCGGGCAGTAGGTGGGGGACAACTGAACCGGTTGCCAGCCAATCGCAGGGCACAAAGAGACGACCAACCATCCGAGTTCACACTCACACCTCGGGACAATTTCGAGTGTTCCGTTAACCTCCCATGCATGTTTTTGGAATGTGGGAGGAAATGGAGTACCTTGAGAAAACCCACGAGGCCTGGGGAGAACATGCAAACTCTACACAGGTAGGTCATAGCCCAGAATCGAACCCTGCACTTCTGCACTGTGAGGCCGGCGTGCTAATCAGTCGACTCCCACTAACGCAGTGGTGTCCAAAGTTGGTCCTCAAGGGCCGCTGTCCTGCCTGTTTTCCAGCTCTCCCAGGAGACACGCCCCTGATTCAAATAATCAGGAATGTTCCAATGCTGCTTCAGAGCTGGATGATGAGCTGATCATCTGAATCAAGTGTGTTGCAGCCGGGAGAGATGGAAAACAGGCAGGATGGGGGCCCTCCAGGCCTGGAGCTGGACATGTCTGCACTAACGGCGTTAACATCATTGGTACTTCCAAATGAGCATGATCAAAGATGACGGTTGATTACTGCTGTGATCCGGTGGCAGCGCCGTTAAACTGCCAAAATTCATGTGGGCAGTCTGAAAAGTTTTTATGCTTGTTCAAATTATTAAAACATTGGCCAAACATTGCGATTGGCTGCCAGCCGGTTCAGGGTGTCCCCCACCGCAGGGTTCCCACTCTTCCACTTGCTTTTTATTTATGGACCTTTTCAGGACTTTTGTGGATTCATTTAGCCCTTTTTAAGGACTTTTTCTCCATTCAGCGGGGGATTCACGGTGGATTTAATGCCTGCTCAGCAATATTCGGGCTGAACAGAAAGCCACCTATCACTGAGCTGGTGTTCAAATCATTGCTGCCAAAGAAAGGGCACATCCTTATTTTTAGGGGCAATCAGCTAACCCTTTGACATAATGTATGTCAAGCGTTCAATGAAAAGAAACTTGAATTCATCAAATAAAGTCCACGAAGAAAATTTTAAATTGAGAAAATATAAACCTTTGTTGAATAAACTTTATTATATACAATTTTGAACAATTTATTTTTGAATAAACAGAACCCTGTTATTTTCCTTAATACCACCTTCAATGATCAGACATGTTGACAACAACAAATGTGAAACTGATCTGACAATTCGGGCATAGCAGACAGTGACTTCGTTTTCTCCTCAATCTCTTTTGCAAGTTCTTGGAGATCAATTTTGTTCTGTTTTGCAGTGTGCCTCAATGCATTTGATTTGACCGGGAGGCTATGACAAGCTTTACCTGCTTTTGCCTCAGCTTCATCAGAATACTTTTCTGATGAAGCGGTCAAACTTTCTACGTCAGTCTCTCAGACCTTTCTGTTGTTTTTCAAGACATCTAATTCATCCTCAAAAGCTTTTCTTTTTCTTTGCCCGGCTCATTCCCTTTCTTAACTCTCCCCTCTTCAAGGTGCTGATAATACCCATGTCGTGCACTCGAGGCAGATGAGAGAAGTTCCTTTGTGATTTCAACATTCAAAACCCCATCTACAAGTATGAGATGATCAGTTATCTGCCTGAGAGCAACACTCATGCCTTCACCCATGTTGTCTTTTTCTATTTGTCTGTTAAGAGAGAAGCCTCTCTCAACAGATGCCTGGCCATGAGAAATAAGTAACAATCTGCGCACAAGACCCCACAGCTTCCCAAACCTTGTCTCATTTTTAGCCATGCAGTCATAGAACAACTCATCTAACCTGTCATCTTCAACTTTGAAGTCCTCACCAGCTATGCTTTGCATGAATTCAACAAAGCTTGTCACCAACTGATCTACGTCATCTTCATCAACGCATTATTTTAGTTTATTCAGGTTTTCCAACAACCTCTTGAATTTGTTCTTTGACTGCTCTTGATCATTAGGTTTCACAATCAATCTAGGGTCTAGACCAGGGGTGTCAAACTCATTTTAGCTCGGGGGCCACATGGAGGAAAATCAATTCCCAAGCGGGCCAGACCGGAAAATCATTGTACATATATCTTAAAAACAACAACTTCAGATTGTTTTCTTTGTTTTCATACTGTCCAAAGTAGGACAAACACAACATCACGATTAATAATTAAACAAGTGAAGTTTTTGGAATATTCTGAGGACAAAGAACACACCAACACACGATGCCTCAGTGATTCAAAGAAACAGTATCACAGACCCCAGAACTATATCAGGGTGTCATTTCTCAAGCAGAAATGTAGATAAAAATAATAAAATCCTGTTGCCCAAACAAGAGTCACAGTCACAAATCAAGAAGAGGTTAAATATACAAATTAAAGAAATTAAATCGAAAACAATAGCAAATCAACATAAAAATATATAAACATAAAGCTGAAACCTGAGGACAGTGTCTCCAAAGTAGTGCAAACACAACATCACTACTACAGTATGTCGCTGTCAAAAAAAGAGAAAAGTGGACGTCGAGTGCAGAGTGTTCCAAGAAAAATGGTCATCCTCCTACTTTTTTCACGGAAGTGAATGGGAAAGCACTGTGTTTGCTGTGTTCACAGCATGTTGCAGTGCTGAAAGAATATAACCTTCATCGCCACTATGTAAGTTTTCATGCCGACAAATATGACAACTTTCAAGCACAGCGGAGAAAAGAGAAGGTGGATGAACCGTTGTCGGGTCCGAAGAAACAGCAGTTACAGCCGAGACATCAGTGACGCTGCGGTGGAAGCTAGCTACCTCATTGCTTCATTCCGGAGAATGGATGCAGGACCTTGCATTTATGGTGGATGTTACCGAGCGCCTGAATACCTTGAACAAACGGCTGCAAGCGCGCAACAAAGTTGTCACACAGTATTATGACAGCATACGCGCTTTCAAGTTGAGGCTGTCATTGTGGGAGACGCAACTCGCCGGTGGTGATGCAGCTCACTTCCCATGTTTGAAACACGTGTGCGCGACCCAACGTGTCACAGACACGAAGCGGTTCAAAGACAAAATAACGGGACTGTTACAGGAGTTTGAGCAACGTTTTCAGATTTTTGGTGAACTGGAGAAAGACTCCAAAGTTTTTTTGCTCGCCATTCACCGTGAATCCCTCTGATCTGCCCGTTGTACATCCAACTTGAAATAATTGACTTGCAGTGTGATTCGGATTTGAAGGGCAAATTTGCCACAGCTGGCTTGGACACATTTTATCAGAACCTCTTGCCAGGTTACCCCAACTTGACAGCCCTCGCTGCAAAGCTGTTGTCCATGTTTGGAACCACATATCTTTGTGAGCAGGTTTTCTCTGTAATGAGCATTAATTAATAAAACAAAGCTGCACTCAAGACTCACAAGCAGCCACTTGAACCACATCCTGAAGTCTGCTGTCACTCAGAATGCGACGCCTGATATTGATGCGCTGGTGAAAGCTAAAAGATGCCAGTTATCAGGAGTCAAATAAGCAATGTAACCCCACTGCATTAGACACCTTAATCTAGGTCTGTGATCTGTGAAAGAGTTCTGTGAAGTGTGTTTGTGTGTTCTTTGTCCTCACAATTTTCAAGTAACTTAAAGTTGATTTATGATGACAGTGAAACTCCTCTTTAACGAAATCATGTTTGCAGCAAGAAATTTTTCACAACAGGGGTTTTTTCACTGTAGCAAATTTGATCTCAGATGTAAACACACACACACACACACACACACACACACACACACACACACACACACACACACACAAACGTATGTGTACTCTATTTTTATTCCAATAAAGTATGAGCATAAACTTATTTTGACACTTCATATAGTCAGTGTAGAAAGAAAAAAGGGAAAGAAATTGCAAAATTTACGATCAGCATTCGCTTTCACTTCCATCAATTTCTTTAATGTCTTTTATTTTGAATTGAATACAACTTTATTGTCAAATGTGCTGTACGTATGTGTAACATACAGCACAGATGAAATTTATTCCCTCTCAACAAGAGCTTCCTCTGTCTTTCATTTTGATCACTTTTACCCTCTCTTCCAGCGTCAAGAGCTCTTCTTTAGCTGCTTGACATCCAAGGGCCCGTTTTGTAGCCATTTTAGCAATGCAGCGTTCTTGCTGCGTCTGAAACTAACAAGAATAAATACTTCCTGGACTACTACGCATGTGTAAACCAGTGTGGTGGTTGCTGTTGCCGTTTCCGATCAAAGCAGTAGAGGTCGCTGTTGGATTGGACTTCGTTGAAGTGAATCTCATCGCGAGGCAAGAGCAGAGAATAAGTTTTCTCACGCAACAGGGTTTTTTTTTCGTTGTAAGGGGGGGGGCAGGAAAATGGGAATGGTGTTAATGTATGAAGATTTTTTTCACACTTGGCGGTATATTCGCACATGTAGGTTTCGTTGTAGAGGAGTTTCACTGGAATGAAAATGGGCCTGTATGAAATGGACGATGTAACATACCTTTCATGTGCTTCAACCTTTTGCGTGAGTCTTCAGCGCCGAAACACCCAAACTTTTCACGGAGATGCCCTTCTTGCGCACTCGACAGTAGGCCGACATTATCGCCGGCAACTTTTCCGACCCAATCACGGAATTCCGGCTGGTCCAGCCACACCACTTGAAAGTGACATTGTCCCGGCATATTTGTCTCGTCGATCACTTGCTGAGGACGATAACTTCGACGAGTAGCTAATTCCAGAAAATAGTTACCCGAAATGACCCGAAGTGATCACGTGATCATCATCGGAACTGATCGGAGACGGGGCGAAAGCCTGTAGCCCGACAGTGGGGTTTGATGGGAACTGCGCCAGGCGCATTTTACGACAAACCTTAATTGGAAGGGTGGAGAAAATGACATACACAAATTAAATGACCACCACAGGATTTTTTTATGGATTTTTATTGATTTTCAAAGCTTTTCCTGAAAATGTGATGGGACAATTAAGAACAACACTTTAAAACTTTTTTTTATTGATTTGAAGCCGATCAGAAAATGAATGGATGGATGGATGGATGGACATCAATGATATTGGAATTGCTGTTGCGTCATGCAACTCCACAAGTGTCAAAGAAGGGTATTTTGAATTCTGTTTTCTGTGGTGGGTTTTACCCAAACGTGCTTTAATACCAGCACACTGTAAAAGGGAGGATATTTGGGGTTGTGTAATTCATTTTTAGCATTGCTGACATTGATGTTGCTCGAGAGCTTTTCGTGCTGACCGTGTGAATGTGTGCCATATTGGTTGAATCGTAGAAAGAAAGCTTCTGGGACGAGAGGTCCAGATAGATCCCGATCTTTCGTGGGATGCTCTGGAGAGTGAGCAGAGTTTCTCCTTCTGGACAATCGGTGAAAAGCTCTCCATCGTCAAATGTGAGAATATGATCCTGTATGCCCACTTCCCAAAAGCCAGTTTGGCCAATCTGGCCCACCTCTATTTCCCAGTAGTGCTGCCCTGAAGTGAACACATTCGCGCTGGTGGCAAATACATGATACCAAGGAGTGAAACGTTCCAGGTAGGACCATGATGGAGGGTTTTTTTGAGGCTCTCGCTGCGAAAGATTCCGTGAGGCCGTGTATCTCGGTTTTCGGGGAACTGCAGTTGGACTTCGAAAGTTGGTCCTGTGGAGCACACTGCGTCTGTCCACAGACAGATTGGTCTGGGACTCCTCCCCTTTGAGCGTGAGCTGCACTTCTCGAGGCTCGATCACCTGAAAAATCTCTTTCCAGACAAAAAACTTGAGGTGACTCTCATAAGGTCCCAGGGAAAGCGAGGTTTCCACGACCGAGAGATCACTTGCTTTTGGTCGGGATGCTCCTTGAAGCATGACGTTGTTGCCTTTGGCCCAGCCCTTGAGAAACGTCTCGGGGTCGGAAATTGCCAGAACGGAGACAGCCTTCGCCTGCAGGGCTCTACTCTGGGACAGCTCCGCCTCGATAGCATTCAGCATCTTGGTCATTTGCTCCACGTCAACGTTTTGTTGGCGTGTCACCTCATTCTTCAGCTTCTCCTCTCTTTTTCGCAAAAACTGGTGCAGCTCCTCAAACTGCGCACTGATTTGGCTCCCCAGTTGACAAGACCTGTCCTTAGTTGCATTTAGATTTTCCGCCTGAGTGTTGAACAACCGCTCCAAAGTTTTTATGTCTCCAGGAATGCGGTCCAGTCGCTTTTCCAGCTCCCGCTTCAGAGATGCGCTTGCTTCCTTAATGGGTTTGAAAGTGTGTCCTTCATGTCGCTCGCCATCTCGACATATGATGCAAGTCAGCTGCTGGTCGGTCACACAGTATAGTTTCAGCTTCTCATCGTGCTCCGGACACATGTCAGCAACCTGTCGACAAAAAATGTTTGGGTGACTAACACGGCCACAAGAAACATGTGAACGCAAGTGGCGCTGCACCGGGGTAAACACGGTTCTCTTTCGTCAGCAGCTTTTGACGTGTGAACGCTCCACAAAATTTGCACCGGTGTAAGATATAGCGCAACAAAATACGTCGGTGCAGCACCAATGCAAATGTGTGCCGCATGAACACCCCTGATGTGTTTTCAGAGGCTATCATGAGACAAATAATGTGCTAGCCTGAGAAGCAGTGTGTATCAGGTTCTGGGGTAAAGCTCTGGAATAGTCTTGATGACAAAGTTTTTAAAAAGTGTCACATTTAGGAAGACAAATGCCGCCATAAATTCTCCTTCATGGACATGGGGTTGAAAAGACGATTTTAGATGTGCTGATTCATTAATTTTTTTTGATTTTTTTTAGTTATAAATAATATTTTCTGGTCCATAGTTTTCTGAGAGAATTTGATGTGTTCAAATGTGATCTGAAAATTGGATTTGGATTGGATAAACTTTCTTGTCAAATGTACTGTATGTGTCACATACAGCACAGATGAAATTTCTTCCCTCTCAACATAAAACAAGAGGAGCCGCTGCGGGTGGCCGCGCCGCTATCAAAAGAAAAGTGAACAAAAAAATGACACAATACAAAACGACACATGAGACACAATCGTGTTACAAAGCAGAGATAAGTGAGCATTTACATACACACAAGTTGGTTAGAGGTAATTTGGATTTTAAAGGTGTAGTTCCATGACAAATCAGCCACCACCCCCTCGCAAAAAAATCTGAAAATTTAACCAAGATTTAGATATTAAAAACTATTTGTTGATGGTGACGGGACAACACAAAATTTTAGGTCAATCAGAGCAGGGGGTTGGGAGCTACAAAATGCCGAATTTTGACATTTTTGAGAAAAAGCTGTGTGGCCGCCTTCCTTTGAACCTTGTATCTCAGGAACGACTGGATCAATCTTCATAAAACAGGTCTCGTCGAAAGGGAATTCAACAAGGATTCCAATTTATCATTAAATAAAATTGGTCCATACTTTAGTAACTTGACCTTTTGACCTTGTGGATACATAACATTAATTTTTTTTCCCCCATCAAATGTCATCTGGCTCCATGTTTCAGAGACGCTTGTTTGTTTGGGTTTTTTTTTTGTCGCAAAGTATCCATACCCTCAGACTTTCAATGAATGCAATCCTTGTTGAATTCACTTTCCAACAACACTTGTTGTGTGAAGATTGACCCAGGAGGTTCCTGAGAAATACGGGTCCAAACCAAGGCAACCAACGTCCTTTTTGTACCCCCACCCCCAACCAAAAAAAAAATATCGGGGCCCGGTGGTTAGCGCGTCGACCTCACAGTGCAGATGTACCGGGTTCAATCCCAGTTGCGGCCTCCCTGTGTGGAGTTTCTCCCCGGGTCTGCGTGGTCTCCGGGTACTCTGGTTTCCACCCATGTTCCAAAAACATGCATGGCAGGCTGATTGAACACTAAATTGTCCCTAGGTGTGAGTGTGGATGGTTGTGCGTCTCTGTGTGCCCTGCGATTGGCTGGCACCCGGTTCAGGGTGACCCCTGCCTACTGCCCGAAGATGGCTGGGATAGGCTCCAGCACCCCCCGCGACCCTAGTGAGGATAAAGCGGTTCGGAAGATGGATGGATGTGATCAAAGTGTCATATATATA